TAGGTGCTTTCACCCCTGCCAGTCCTAATGTAATAATACCCTTGAACAGCTCTCCTGGCTCCTCAAGGTTAAGAATTGCTGTTCTAAATGTTTGGGTTTTGCAGGTTTTCACTGAAAGGTTTGGGGATCTGGTTGACAAGATTCAGTTTGCAGGTCTTTGCCAAAACCAACCAAAGAACATCTACTTGAAACTATGACTCACTCCTGTTTTGTAGAAATGACAAAGGGGAAAAGTCCAAGGCATATTTAGTCTTTATTTGAGTACTCTGATCTCAGATGGGGCAGAGGCAGTTTCTCCCTATGTCTCTGTGCAGAGACCAGGAAAATGTGCCAAACAGATTAAAAAAAAAATTAGTGATTTACTGGCATCTCTCCTCTTATCTTCTGCTGTCTCTGGAGAAGGCAGTATCGACTCTTCCGCCTCAACGTCTGTGGGGAAGCAAAACAGACTCTCACTCTCAGTAAGCTACACCCCCATGCAAGGCTCAGAGCAACATACAGCTATTCCTGCATCTCCTTCTATCAGTAACCCCAAGTGAGTGCAGTCCCTGGGGACAAGTCATCCTGTCCTGTACTGAGGACCAAAGGGCATTACAGAACATGTGACAACTTGCACATCACATCATCCCCTCCTGTGGTTGGCAACAGAACCAGCCACTGTTGCTACTGATAATGAAGCTATGGGTATGAGAGCTGTGCTCTGGCTCCAGGCAGTCTGTGTTGAAACCCTGCTAATGACCCCTGCAGGAAATCATTCCAGGAGTGGGAGGAGGGGAAGATCTCTGCTGCAGAAAGCAGTGGGTTGAGCATCAAAATTCAGAAATATGGGAAGCTATGAGCCAGGACCCTCAAGGCAAGAGGGGATCTGAAAGATCAATAGCTGACTAGGCTAAGTGGGTGGCCCAGGCCTACTATTACTAGATCGGTGCACAAGGAAGGCACAGAGGGCTTTGTCTCCAGAACAGACACCCCCCAACTCCTCACCCTGCACACCTTGCAAGAGGGCTCAAAATTGGATCAGACACCTGGTTCAGCTAATCCAATGCGTCTGTCAATAACACCCAGTGACCCCTTTTATAGCTGACCCATCTACAACATATAATCTTATCTGTGCTTACTCCCATTACTCTTATCTGTGCTTACTTACCCTAGCCATGGTGCTACCCACGGCCTCAACCGGATTCAGGGTCCTGGGGTGTCAAACGGCCTCGGTCAACCTCCCAGCCCCTAAGGCTGGGGCCATCTCTCCGTGGAGTGCTTTCCTGTGGTTTCCCCACACACTGGAGTACATACAGCCTAACTATTTACACAGTGTATTATTTACGAAACCGTCAACATATTGTGGTGGGTTCCCTGCTTTTGCCCAGCAAGTCCGGCTTGGAGGAGGGCAATTTGGATTGGCGGAACTTTTCTACCAATCAGGTAACAGCTGGGAGGGGCTTGCTCAGCCCCTGGACCTGATTGAAGACTGGGATTTGCAGGTCTGGGAGACTTCAGGGGCGGGGCCTCCGGCGTAAATAAAAGCCCAGCGTGCTCAGCAGGCTGGGCAGATGCAGTGAGGGACTCAAGGGTGGAGCCAAGAAATGCTGGGGAACTCTCCCCCAGCGGGCAATAGGCCCAAGGCTCCTGAAGCTGCCAGTGGAGGAGCAGCCTTGGGAGCAGTGTAAGACCGCTCAGTCTGTTGATGGCGCACAGGGACTCAGCCCTGGGAGCGGTGTGAGACTTCTTGAGCCCATCACAGTGCACAGTTCAGTGCATGGAGCCCACGCTTAGGGAGCCGCAAGCAGTGGCTCAAGCCTGCAACACCAGAGGACCAGCAGGCCACATGGTACGCAGGGCAGTGCATAGGCCTGAGTCTTAGGAGCTGTGGCAGGGCAGCTCAGGCATCATCGTGAGTAACCCCAGAAGACAGCGGGGCAGGGAAGTGCACAAGCAGTGCAGGGGAGCAGAGGCAGGGAGCAGCAGAGGCTGTTTGGGTTAGCCACCTGGCATAAGGACAGCTGGCCAGAGTCTGAAGGGCCCGGCCTGTGCTAAGAGAGCCCTCAGTGCCGAGCCAGGGCATGGGGAAATGGCAGTGCTGCAGCCTGAGGCCCAGCACCCAGGAGCCAGCAGCAGTGGTGCAGCAGCTGAGAGGACCTGAGCCCTCAGTGCCCAGAGTGGGGCACAGGGTGGGGAGGAGCCCTGCAGCATGGGAGAGGCCTGGAGAGGCACTCCAGCAGAGGAGACCCCATTGAGCTGCGCCCTGACTGCCGCCACCTGAGCGTGAATCATTTGGGCCCTTGGGTCCTACTGGGGAAAGACGTTTGGGGCAGGCAAACCCAGAGAAGGGGCTGGGGGAGCAGCCCTTCGCCTAGTCCAGGCCCCAAGGGGACCGGGCCCCGGTG